CCTGCATATCAGATATTTACATTACGATTCATAACAGTAGCAACATTACAGTTATGAAGTAGCAATGAAAATAATTTTATGGTTGGGTCACAACATGAGGAACTGTATTTAAAGGGCCAGAAGGTTGAGAACCACTGTGGTAAGAGATCAACCAGAGGACTTGTATGCATGCATATGAGCAAAACCAATGGACACAGACGGGGGAGGGGGAGGACATGTACTGGGGGTGTGGATGGTCAGGGAGATGTCGATGGGGGGAAAAGAGACTTATGTAATACTTTAAACAACAATTTAAATTTTTTAAAAAAGCATGTGCTCTGGAGCCAGACACCCTAGTGTCTAATCTGGGCTTTGCTACCTATTCACTTTGTGATCCTGAGCAAGTTATGTAACCTCTGTGAGCCTCAGTTTACTCATCTATAAAATAGGAATACTACTACTCCCTCTCATGGAATTGTTGTGAGGTTTAAAAATGAGGTGATATATGTAAAATATTTAGAACATTGGCACATGACTTAGAAATGCTATTTTTTGTATTTTATTTTTATGATGTCTACAAGACATCTAGTTAGGCCATTAGACATGTAGGTTTGAATAGAGAGAGATATGAGCTGGACTTTAAATCTGGGGAATCAGTAGAATCTAGTGGATGTTAAAGCTACAAGTCAATTAAGGACATTCATGAGGAAAATAAAATATATATGTATATGAATATATATATGAGTATATACAAAAATGATAATAGAAAAAGACCAAGGACAGAACTTAGAGAACAAAATACCCAAGAAGAGAAACAACATGAAGAAGATAAAGAGTAATTAAAGGTAGTTAAAGAACAAGGAGAGAATGGTGCCTGAAAAGCCAAAGGCAGAAAAATTTTCAAGGAGGGAGGGGATCAATAGTGCCAAGTGATCAGGATTGGAAATAGGCCATTGGATTTTGAAATTAGAAGATCACTGTTGACCTTTTCGTGAACTGTGAAAAAGCTGAGCTGTGAAAGGTAATTTAGGAAACAGAGAAAACAAGTATCGGTGATTCTTTTAGAGATTTAAACTATAAAATGTAAAAGGAAGATGAGAGGCTAGTTCAAAGGTAAGTAGGATCAAAAGAAGGTGTTGTAGTATGAGGGAAACTTGAGAATGCTACTGAGCTGAAGGGAAGTCAATGAAGAGAGAGTATATGAATGTATGTGATTTACTGTCTTATCTATGTTTTGAAGTACTGAAGATAATGAAAATGCTACTCAGATATAAAAGTTCACTTTAAAGATGAGCTAGAAAACTTCTGTGAGAAGTGAGTAATCTGTTTTAAAACACAAAAAAAGAAAAAAGGTATATAGTTGTGATTTAAAAATATAATTAGTCCTGTATTTTAACAGAATTACTTCCTAAGACTTTAATAACATTTTGAGAAGTCTCTGGATACTACCAAAATAGAAAAGTCATTCTGTTAAAATACAACACTAACTATATTTTTTAAACAACAAATTTAAACTTACTTTTCATTCTGCATTCTGAATGTATTTTTGAGCTTTTAGATAATATTTTTTCATTCACATGAAATAGTCCAAATAAATAAACCCACAATTCTGGGAGAGTAATAGGCTCTGTATATAACAAAATTATTAATTTCTGTAGCTCATTAGAATAGGAAATTATAATTTTTTTGATTTGCAGGTGTTTGCATCTGTAGCAAGTATTCAACAATTTCTTGAATACCTAACAAGATGTCTATAATTCTTCAATATGTTTACTTGTTAACAACTTGCCATTTTATCAGTCCATTCAGCCCAGCTTCCTGAAGACTGGAAAATGTCATTCCCTTCTCATCATTTTGGGTGAACTACTCTATGACAGAGGTGTCATTTTAAAGGTCAAACAATTCAATATATTAATGTTGACATCACAAAGATCTGGCTTCAAATCAAAGCTCTACCCCTCAACAGCTATGCAATTTTGAGTGAGCTATGTAACGAAAACATTCACTATATCTAAAACACCTAATTACTCCTAAACAAGCTTTGCAAGACCAGTACACACGCCTATATATGACTGACAGTCAAAGACATTTAGCTGGGTAAGCCAAAGGAACAAGGACAAAGATTTCAAGAAATCATCTAACAAGACAGTTTTCATACTTTTCAGTAGAGATATTAAATTTTATTTAGACACATTTTATAATAAAAAGTGTATTGTAAAAACAAAAAACTGAGCCCAGCTGGTGTGGCTCAATGGGTGAGCATGGACCTAAGAACCAGGAGGTCATGGTAGGATTCCCAGTCAGGGCACATGCCTGGGCTGTGGGCTCAATCCCCAGTAAGGGCGTGCAGGAGGCAGCTGATCAATGATTGTTTCTCAGATGTTTCTATCACTCCCTCCCTCTCTGAAATAAATAAAAATATAATTTAAAAAGAAGAAAAAAAATAACTGGAAGTAAATATCCCAATTATTTTAAAAAAATGTAATATCCTGGACATAAATGGCACACCATAACAGAATATCCAAACTGCTCATTATAGTTGGAGCAGAACTAACAATGAACAAATTTCCTTAAATATCTGAAGAGTGATTATAGCTTTGTAACACTACAGTATTCTCCTTGGACAAGCCAATTCATCTATCTGCTATAGCTTCAAATGCTGGTGAAAAAAAGAACCAACAATTGATAATAAGAGAAAAAAGAGAAAAAGAAAATGCTTACTTTATATCAGGTAAGACATTTTAATATTTAAACACTTACTGCTAAATAATAGTACCTACATAGCTGGGTTGTTGTAAGAATTAAATCAGATAATACACATAAATTGTTTAGCCCCGGATCTCACACTATAAGTATGGTTAATAAATATGCATTCTCACCAGTCAAGAACAAAGTTATCATTCATAAAATAGGTCATTTCCTGAAATTATCTAAGAAAAGATACCAAGTTTTGTCATTTTCTAAAGAAAACATTTAGGCTGGGTCTATACAGGTTGTCAGGTAAACACTGTCCTAAGAGTTGCAATTCAATCACCACGATTCTGGTGAGTCAGACTTCCGAATGCTGGGTATGGCACAAAGAGAGATGCACTTTGTTTTTTTAAATTTCTAGAAGCCCACAGACATCGTTAACCCTTTTTAAGACAATGACATTGGCTGGATTGTTTGTGCTGTTGTCCTGATTATTGCTAAGGCTTTAATTTCTGCAGTTTATTGCATTAATTACTAAATTTCTACCCAAATATTAATGATAATCCTAATCATCATATTTGTAATAATCCAAAGTACTTTTTCTAATTTTAAGCCATTTGTTATTCTCACAGACAAAACTTCTAGTTTTTCTGAACAACCAAGCAACAGGAAGAATTTCATTTTTATGTTCCATTCAATTTAAGTGTTAGCACAAATGGCATCACACAAAATGAGTCCTCTATAATTCTAGAAGCAATTTAAGACAAAACTAGACTCACCTGTAATTGCAAAGCTTCATGATTTTCTAGCCCTTCCACGATTGGTGAAAATCGTTCTCTGTTATATCTTTCTGCGGCTGTAGTTATAGCCCCTAAAAGTTTCTCTAGGCTAGAGAGAAAAAAACAGAAAATGAATGAAACGTATCTCACACCCACATTGTGAATATGCGGTTTTCTCGATCAGATTTCCCTGCTTTCTTTTTGGTGCTTGATCAGTAGATAGATCACCACAATTAAATAATTGTGTTTCTATCTGCATATTTCAACACATCAAATATTGATAACATTAAATAATTTTAGGGCATCAGCAAGAAAATTCAATTTAAAAATCTTGAGGATATTTTTTTTTTCCTGGGTGACAGTTTTCAAAAGATACTTAACTGATAAACACTGAAATTTAAAATTTCAGGTTTTGATATTTTGTGTAACAGATATTAATTAATATCTCTGCAACCCCAAACGGTACCGACAAATATTAAGTTTATTCAAGTGTAATCTGACTGTAATTGTATTTATTTATTTATTTTGAATTTTTATAAGATCTCAAATGCTCTCCCGAATGAAATTTTATAATAAAGTGCTAGAAAGAGTAAAAAATCTTAAAAAGGACTTAAAAACATTAACATTCTTTGAAAATGGAATAAACAATGCCTGAAAGAGAATGCCTAGGCAATTAGAGAAGTATCTATAATCACCTAGCACAAGGAACTCAGTTACCTGAACAAATTAATAAAGACTATCTCTTGTACAGCGTCTGAATCAAATTCAATTCTATGTATTATACTACCCTTATAAAATTATATCTGAAATTATATTTAAAGCATATCAAATATAGCAGGGTAGGGTGTATTATATGAATTAACTACTGAAGCCTCAGTTTTGCATATGTTACCTCATTTATAGTTTGTTCTCACTGAGATAAGATTTAATGCCATATAGTAATATCTTTGTTTGTTTGTCTTTTGGTTTCTAAGGACACATTAGCCAGCGCTAACCAACATCTCATTTTATTCTAGCAGGTATGAAAAAGTCAACACATTAGAATATTCCTAACTCTTTGCATAGCCCTGTTCAGATTCAAATGGAAATTACTGCTGGCTCGCAAAGTGTGAGGAAACATTTTAGTTCATGTCCTTAGCAGGTATTTCATTATTTATCACAATTGTTTCTTATTAACTAGACATATTAATGACATTAAATTTGAAATTTTGCTTCTGATTCAATATTATTTCCATAAGAAGAAATGATCTAATGCAGGGTCAGCAACGGCTTGCTGAAACTGGCACTTTTACCACAGACTTTCTAAAAAATTACCCAGACGTTCTGTTCTTTCTTTTTAACAGATTAGTTTATTTCATTCTATGGATGATTGCTTTATCTTTTCACTTACCATAGGCAGGTAAAATACTTCTATAAAATAATAGTACAAAATAAAAGAATCTAGTTAATTTAATTACTTCAAGTAGCCCAATTTTGTGATGTGCACGTGTGGGGGGGGGAGGGATAGGGGTGGGCGTGTGTGTGTGTGTAAGTGTATGTGTGTGTATAGCCAAAATTACTCTGATTATTATCCTATATTTCTAGTAATTGCTTTACCGTCAGCAAGACAAAATTCTATTCATTCACTTTGAATCCAACTTTGAAGAATTCCCCATTAGGATTCTATCTCTTTAAACCTATTTTTCAAAGAATCAAACAGAGCTAAAATGTAACTAGATAAGATAAAAATGCTACTAATTTTTTCCTAAAATTTCACATTATTTTTATGCAAGTTATCTAAAGAAACAGCATACAAGTAGGACTTATTAATTTCTCAAGTGTCATTTTTATGCAATTAATATAACATAGCAATACTTACATGTTATCTTCTCCGACAATGCAAATAGCAGAAAGTATTTTTACTATTTCAGTCATCATGTTGGGTTGTTTGGGGTCAATAGCTCTTGCCAATAGTAAAAGACTTCTTTCATCTCCTAGAATCCTTTGCAATCCAAACTTAAGAAAAAAAGAACTTTCATTCACAATGTCTTTGGAACATATATTTAATTTAAAAAATACAACTTACAATGATTTTCTAAAAACCCATACCTCCACAATAAGGTTCTACCTAATTATATGAACGTTCTTTAACAAGCAGTTATTTGTCTTTGTTTTTTATTTGAAATGACTGCATCTTGGAGTTTTTAGCCCTTGATCAGATACGATCTCCATTAGCCTGTCTAAAATTCTATAAAGATCTGGGAGAAATATGGGAACAATCAGTATTTCTTCAACAAAGAAGAACATGTAAAGCACATACTGATATGATTTTCTAAAGTAATTCCACTTATGTCACTGGGTCTCCCTGGAGATATCTGCAATTCATGGTTAAATTCTCCAATATGTTTGTATAAAACATTAAGTTGAACAAAAATGGTGAAATGTTGAAAAGCTCTCTCTATGCTATATTCCAAGTAAAGCAAGAAGCCTTTGTACAGATTGTCCTAGACCAGTGATGGCGAACCTTTTGAGCTCGGCGTGTCAGCATTTTGAAAAACCCTAACTTAGCTCTGGTGCCGTGTCACATATAGAAATTTTTGGATATTTGCAACCATAGTAAAGCAAAGATTTATATTTTTGATATTTATTTTATATATTTAAATGCCATTTAACAAAAAAAAAAATCAACCAAAAAATGAGTTCGCATGTCACCTCTGACACGCGTGTCATAGGTTCGCCATCACTGTCCTGTACCTTCTCTGTTATCCTCCCCCTTCAGACAGCTGTGCTGCATTCTGAAAGCTATGAACACAGAGAAATGGCACCTGGATTTCAATACGTGTCACATTCAACTGGGCAGAGAAGACACCCCTTTCATTTATTTTCCAGTCCTGAGTACGTGTGCGCAAGTGCGCATTATAAAAATGAATAGGTATAGACATTTTAAAGAAAGCCCAAAATGTAGGTTTTCACTACATTAAGGTAATATATTCTTTGATCTTTGTCCCACAAAGTATTTCTCAGATTTCTGATGAAACAGGTTTGTTTTTTTTATAGTCTAATGGTGAAATCTGACAACATTTCATCAGAGTAAAATGGCCATTTCAAGCTAACCTTTAGTTAAGTACCAAGCATATGAAGACTTTCATGGTTACTAATTTAACTTCTAAAAGAATTCATGGGGAAATAACTGAAGCTCTTAAATGTAACTTTAGCAGAGGTCAAAATAAATAAGGAAATAAAAGAAAAAACATAAAAGGAAATGGAAGAGACAAAATATAAAAGCAGCAAAGAAAACAGAAGGAATATGTATGCATAAAGGTGGCCAGTGGATAATAAATAGTAAAAAAAAAAAAAAAAGTGAAAAACACAGGTGTAAAACTGACAGATGATTACCACATAATTACCAAACTAAAATAACAACTTTAAAAATCATACTGAGAGTGAAATCATTTAAATTTTCAGCTGAAGGACTTGTATGCATGCATATAAGCATAACCAATAGACATAAGACACTGGGGGATAGGGAAGCCGGGAAAATGTCAAGAAGGGGAAAAAAGGAGACATATATAATACTCTTTGTAATACTTCAAGCAATAGAACAAAATTTTTTTTAAAAAGTATGATAAAAAAATAGATCCAAAGACAAAGAAGCATTGAACTGACTGTCAAATCTCAGAGGGAAAGCAGGGGAGGGTAGGAGAAGGGGGTACAGATCAATGTCTTTGAGTGGCATTATTTTATCGTTTGACATATATGCTGTGTGCAGCAGTCCTCATAGTTGTGACTGTCCTAATCAATGAACTTGCAGATCAACCAATGAACTTGCATGCATGTAAGCATAACCAATAGACACAGACAATAGGAGGGTGAAGGCTTGTGGTGGGGGATGGGGAGAAAAGGGGGACATATGTAATATTTTCAACAATAAAGATTTAAAAAAAGAAAAAAATCATACTGAGAGTGAAATCATTTAAATTTTCAAATTTACATTTATTGTTTAAAAGTATTTTATAATATGTAGGGATATACTGATAATAAAAATGAAGGTATGAGTAATAATGAAAAAACATAAATCTAAACCTCAGAGCAATATTACAGCAAAGGAAGTTAAGAAGAAATTGATAGCTTTTTATGATCCTATTCTGACATGCACTGTATAAGGAAGAATAATTTTTGAAGTAGGTAATATAAACTCCTTAGGGCCAACAAATTTGATGTTTAAGTCATTTCAGATGAAACTTTGATTCTTTGATTAAGACAACTTATTTCAACACAAAGTGGACTTATCACTATATATTTTTATTTTGAATGCATACTTTCGCCTATTATTTCATATGCCTATAAATATCCACCATGTATTCATGTTCTGAGCCTCTATGTGCAAGATATTAACATGCCCTATCTTAACCTTAGTTTAGAACAATCTAAGTCAAATCATTATGTTTGTATGGAAAATACAATAATTAATTAATAATACTACAAGAATAAACACTGTGTTTTGCACATTCACAACTGTAAGCCTACTTTTGCCCCACCCTGTATATACACACTTACATGTAATCCCATATAATTAAGAAAGCCTTTGAAGATTACTTAGACTATCTTATTGCACTGGTTATTAATAGCTATATTTCACATTTGGCAAGCTTTTTTATCGTTATAATTATTCATGTCTATTAATATTTGAGATTCTTAAAACACCATCTAAAGGAAATTAAGTAATTAGTAAATTAAGCAGTGGTATTTTACTTATGGAAATATAAAGCAAATCATTTCTAAGACAGTAACAAAATAGTTTATAGAAAAAAATAATTTTAAGGAACTCAACATTTGCAACAGCATGAATGGACCTGGAGAGCATTATGCTAAGTGAAATAAGCCAGTTGGAGAAAGACAAGTATCACATGATCTCACTCATATGTGGAATCTAAGAACAAAATAAACTGATGAACAAAATAGATCCAGAGACATGGAACCATGGAACAGACTGACAAATCTCAGAGGGAAGGTGTGGGTGGGAGTTGGGGGAGGGGGGTGAGATTAAACCGGGAACATATATGCATAGCCCATGGATACAGGCAATAGGGAGAAAGACAAGTATCACATGATCTCACTCATATGTGGAATCTAAGAACAAAATAAACTGATGAACAAAATAGATCCAGAGACATGGAACCATGGAACAGACTGACAAATCTCAGAGGGAAGGTGTGGGTGGGAGTTGGGGGAGGGGGGTGAGATTAAACCGGGAACATATATGCATAGCCCATGGATACAGGCAATAGTGTGGTGATCGCTTGGAAGGGGTGGTGAAGGGTAGAGGAGATCAATGGGGGGAAAAACAAATGGACATCTGTGATACTTTCAACAATAAAGATAAATTTAAAAAAAAAAACAACAACTTTAACTTCATAACCTTAGCACAGACTACTTTTAGAAAAAAAAAAAAACCCTTGTATGGATTATTTCACTGAGTCCCACATAATGCAAGAAAACCCCACACTATTTTCCAGAAATGTCTTTTACGTATGTTAACTGACATTAATTGAACATAAAAGAAAAAGAAATCTTAACCTTATAATGTTCTTAGCAAATAAGTCAAACCATGGCTTTGAATTTTGCTTTTCAAAGGAATAAAAACACTAAGAAAATTCTATTCAATATTTGACATCTAAATTTTTCTCCACTATAAAAGAAAAAAAGGCATTATCTAATTTGGGAATAAGACTTACGTGTTTGCATGATTATAAAAACTTACCAATAAATATTTTGTGAAGGAAAATACATTTTAAATACTATTTAAATAAACCATGGTGATTTGCATCAGAAAGACCTTTCTGTAAACTGAATAAGCACAAACTATTGTGTATGTTTCATACTTTCATACTGTTGAGTAAGTTCTCACCCTTTGTGACAGAGGCAGAAATAAACACTTACCTTATTATTCATAAATGCTTTGAGGCACTGAATAAGTTTATGCTGATTCTTCTTGTCAATATTTTCTTGCCTGAATAAAAGAAAAGAAAAACCTATTATACTGTGCCTAAACATTTCCCCTTCGGTGATTTTTTCATGTTTATTCTTACTGTTTCTTGTCCAGAAGCTTTTCCAGCACATCCAGTAAGAGTCCAAGACCTTCATGGCCAAAGTTGTTAACCCAGCTAGGAAATAAACAAACAAAAAAATGCATAAATCAGTTTGTATATTGAAAACATGAAGTATCTACAATGAAATTTTGATTTTCAAATATGATAATCCTATCTTTATATTGCTCATCATTCTTTCTCCTACTCCTACTGCTTCAAGCATCCTCTGTGAGGATGACTCAAGATCTTTACCTCAATGTCACAATTCTCTTCACATTTTAGATTGCCCACTCCACAGCCCTGCCTTGGTTGTTTCTCCAGCAACAAATACTTAAACCTAAACTTATAAGCCGAATTTATCTTCCTCTGTGCCCCTGCTTCCCAAAATCAACTCCTCTTCCATTCTTCCATGTTGTTAACTATACCACTATACTTTTAATCATTCAGACTTGAAATACTTGCATAATCTGTGACCCCCTCATCAATATTTTTAAAATATATTTTTATTGATTTCAGAGATGATGGGAGTGGGAGAGACAGAAACATCAATGATGAGAGAGTATCATTGATCAGCTGCCTCCTGCACACCCCCTTTTGGGGATCGAGCCCGCAACCCGAGCACGTGCCCCCCACCGGAATCGAACTCGGGACCTTCCAGTCTACAGTCCAATAATTTATCCACCGAGCCAATCCAGCTAGGGCCCCTCATCAATATTTATTGAGTGCATATATGTTGTGCCAGCATGTTCTATTTAGGTGATAGATATATAACAGGCATCAAAAGTAAGCCCTCACCCTCATATAGGTTACTGTCTCAAAGAGGGAGACAGATGATAACCAGATAAACATATAATAAAATGTCACTTCTTTGGTGCAATGAACAAAAATAAACATTACTAAATGGAACAGGAGTGGTCAGGGACAAATTCTCCATAAGGTGGCATTTGTGTAGAGCCTTGAAGAAAATAGGGACTTTCCCAGGAGGGGGAATAAGTGCAACTGGGTACTGAGGTGGTAGCTACTGTACTTGGAAATTCCAGGAGCTGTGAGGAAACCTGAGTGGCTAGAGCTGAATAACAGGGCCTGCGTGAGCAGCAGGAGATGAAGTCCCATGTGTGCTAGAAGGCTGGAGATTAATCAGGTAGAGTTTCCTTTGACATATTATCCAGTCCTGAATATGCTACTTCTAGAAGGTCTCCCACACATGCGCTGGCCCTCCTTTCCATTGTCTCTGCTAACATTCTAGTGTAGCCCTAGTCACCTTAACAAGCCAGGAACCTCCCAACCAGGTTCTCTGCAGCTTCATTTGTTCTTTTATTCATTTTACAAAATACCACACTTGATTGAACTTAACTAGTCTTTTGTCCAAAGTTTTCCTGTGGACTACCTAACACATTTCAAATCCTGACTCTGATCTAGCATCAACCGACCTTTACAGCCTCGGGCCTTATACCACATGTTCTAGTGAAAGTCAGACACTGTCCTTCCTGGAGTCCTCCCTGCACTTCCCTGCATTTCTTAATTTATGTTTCTTTCCATAAGGCAACCCCAACTCCATCTCTCCAAATCCTTCAGGGCTCAAGTTGACTGTCAATTCCTCCATTAGTGTTTTTCCCCATAAGCTTTCCATCCAAATAGGAGTTACTGTTCCTTTGAACACCCATGTATCTTTATTTCTTATTGTTTTATTATGCCGTTCTTGTCACACATGTCTTACAAACCTTTCTGTATTAAAAATTCTGTTAAGACAGTTATATTATCTCATTTATCTTTCTGTCTTCAATAATACTTAGCAGGCTAGCTTATATGTAGTCAACACTAAGTAAATATTTGCTAATTCAAATTTAAATAAACTTACTGACTTGTGTGATTAAGACAATCAGTAGTCTCATATTGCCCAAGAACTTCACAAATGTAAGTTAATATATAGCAGACTCCTATAAAGCAAAAATTAAAATCTATACATATTTAAACAATGACTATATTTCTATTTCAGTCTTTACATTTCATGTCTTCTAAGGTAAAGCTTATCAACAAAATAGCTAAATTTCTAAGAAAATATCAGTAAGAATCGTTTTTAAAAAATAGCTCAAATATTCAAAACCAATCACATCCACAATATCATTTTAAACAAATTCTGCTTTAATTTTCACAGTGGAAATGAAAAAAATCAATATGGCATTGTAATGATCATTGGCAGCAAGCTACTATTCAATTGAGGCATGTAATCAACCAGTACAATGAGCAATTTTCTCTAAAGACTCTTGATAATCAGCTGGGCAGTGGTGGAAGGATAAAAGGACACCAGCTCTAAGCATAATAAATTATATTTAATCCATCAGAGAGAAATCAGCAGATATCATTACAGTACAACATACCCTACAGCAATCTCAAAATAATAGTTCTGACCAAATTTCAGATCTCCTTTGGCATTTGGGAAGGATAAAATGATCTCTGAATTCCTCACATTTAACGCATACAAATTATTTTTAAGATTCTAAATTTTACTCGTACTCTTTTTACACCTAGTACTATTAATATTATTAGGGTGATTTCTTCCTGGGGCTAGGAAATTGTTTGATACAAGGGCATGATTTATATCTGTTCACTTGAAATCAGTCACCCAACCTACACACCCCGGACTGCTTCAAATTGAGCAGTTTATGGTACTTTGATTTCATTTAGTGCAAATTACTATTGGTCTGGAAAAATCAGGACACAATCACAAAACTTAAGTGTGAGGAGGTGGGCCTATTTGTAACAAACTAAGCCATGAAAAGTCTTAACCAAGAATACCTTAGGCCAATGGGCAGTGGAGACCTAGTAAGAATCCTCAGAACTTTACAGAGAATAGGAGTCCAAAAGGAGTCTGTTGCTAAGGGGATAAAACGATAATGATGCAGCATGAGAAGGATAAAAGAAAGGGGGCAATTAGACATCCCTTTTTTTACCTTTTTCTCTTGCCAGCATCATTTCTCTGCTTTTAGGCACTGGACACTTTGTGGCCTCTAGCCAAACACTATTTTCTCCCACTCTCTCCCTCTCCCCATGACTCATAAGCAGTTTAAAAACAAAATGCTGCCCTAACCGGTTTGGCTCAGTGGATGGAGCGTCGGCCTGCGGACTGAAGGGTCCCAGGTTCGCTTCCGGTCAAGGGCATGTACCTTGGCTGTCTATCCCTCTCCCTTCCTCTCTGTAAAAAATCAATATAAAATATATTTTGAAAAAAATGCTGGCTGTGATAGTTAAGCAGGAATTTTGACACTGTAACACAAGAAGCATAAATCAGTGGTTCTCAAGGTGTGTGTCCCAAACCAGTAGCATCAATATCATCTAGGAACTCATTAGAAATGCAAATTCTTGGACCCCAACCTAGACCTATGGAATGAGTAACTCTGAGGGTGGGGCCTAGCAGTGTGGGTTTTAACTGCTCCAGGTGATTCTGACGCTTGCTCAGGTTTGGGAACCAGTGATATAGAAACATGGTTCGCTAACAAGTAGAAGAGCCTTTCTCAGGAAGCACTGAGGCTCAAAACTCAAGATTGCTTTAGACACCCTGCCAACCATACTGAACACTCCCACTGCCACAGGACAGAGATACAGAATCCAGTCAAAGCAAGTATATTTGGTATATTTTACAGAGCATGCAAGTTCCAGCTCTGAGTTATTCAGTACTAATTGGAATATCTAAAAATATAAAAATAGGGCTCTAGATTGTTTTGCTCAGTGGATAGAGCATTGGCCTGCAGACTGAAGGATCCCAGGTTTGATTCCAGTCAAGGGCACATGCCTGGGTTGCTGGCTCGATCTCCAATAGGGGGCATGCAGGAGGCAGCCAATCAATGATTTTTCTCTCATCATTGATGTTTCTCTCCCTCTCCCTTCCTCTCTGAAATCAATAAAAAAAAGAAAATACAATTGATGACTTGATTTAAAATCTGATTCCAAGACTGCAAATAAGGACAGATAAACACAAATTTAAGGACAGATAAACACAAATTTTCTATTATATCTCAACTCTGAAACAAGAAATTGCAATTTATCACAGTCCCTAAATTTATAAGAGGCATAGAAGCAGCCAGGGATGATGAAAAACCAAACAGAAGAAAAAATGGGGAAGGAGATTGATCTCTCATAATTTTCATAACCACTCTAAAACACAAGTTGTTTTTTTCTAATATATGATTTACATACAGAAAAATTCATCATTTTGACAAAGGTATAGTCATGCAATCTCCAACACAAACAAGATATGCAACATTTCCATCACTTCAAAATATTTTCTCTTTTTTTCTTCGCAGTCAATCCCTTTTCCCTACTCCCAGGTCCCTGGCAACCACCTATCTGATTTGTGTCCCTATAGTTTTGCTGTTTCAATAATATCTTTAGAAATGGAATCACACAATGTGCAGGATTCTGTGTCTGGCTTCTTTAACTCGGCATAAATGTTATTATATTCAACAATTAGGTGCATGGATCAGCAGTCTACTCCTTTTTTGGTTATGCCACAATTTATTTTATACATTCATCAGTTGATGAGCATCTAAACTGTTTCCAGGTTTTGGTGATGATGAATAAAGCTACTACAAATATTAACATGTAAGTTTTTTGTGTAAGCATATGTTTTCACTTGCTTGGGAAAATAATTAGGAGTTGAATTGCTGGCTCTTATGGTAAATGTATGCTTAACTTTTTTACAAAGCTACTTTCCAAAGTGGAATTCCTTCAGCAAAGTGTAACAGTTCCAATTGCTCCAAATCCTTCCAGGCACTTCATACTGTCAATCTTTTCAACTTCAGCCATTCTGAACACTATTTTCAGACACGGAAACTGAGAAGCAAAGTAGTCAAGTAATTTGCCAAACATCACTCAACAAGTATGATTTCTAGGACTCAAACCCAGATCTGACTCAAAAGCTCATGCTTATTTGAAACATACCATTAAAAATTAATAACAGGACCAGTGTACAATTTTCTAAAACAATATCTGGCTAATTGCTCCACCAATAACTCACTGAAGAAGAATCACTGCTTGTTCAGAACCGCATTGAACTTGTAACTATGTCTATGTCTAGA